GCTTTTCCGGGATTCAGTATTATGTATGCTCTAATGATCACCTCCTCAAAGACACTTACTGGTCATTTAGCAGATGTCTTTTTTGTCCTATGTGATTTATAGTGCACTATATAATAGAAGCTAGTATGTTTACATTTCCGTTACAAGCCCATATCCTTAGATAAAGATAAATACCTAAGAGTCCAGTTAAAGTAGATGTAGGTCTGTTGTTGTCTGTACAGTGCTGCAGGAAGCAGTCAGCACAGGAGATCCAGAGATGGTGCAGCTGGTTCTCCAGCGACGAGATTATCTCAAAGCCTCCACTGCGCTGGGTGGTGTTCCAGAGTTACTGTGCAAGATCCGAGAGGTGCGTCTGTCATTTGATTTAGTTTATTATTTTGGTGAATTTTGAGCTGATATTGTATAATAATCATTATCTTTCAAAAGTTTGAGGGAACTTTGTCAAATTTGGTAATATTTTTTTAAAAGTAGTCACCTATGTTCACCCAGGCTGCATTTATTTGATCAAAAATAAAGACAGTAATCTTGTAAAATATTATTCAAGTTTAAAATAGCTGTTTTCTGTTGTAATATATTATAAAAAAACATTTTTTTCCTGTGATGTCAAAGCTGAATTTTCAGCAGTCATTACTCCAGTCTTCAGTGTCACATGATCCTATAGAAATCATTCTAAAATGTTGATTTGGTGCTCAAGAAACATTTCTTATGATCAATCTTGGATACAGCTGTGCTGCTTAATATTTATGTGGAAACGGTGATACATTCTATGATGAATAGAAAGTTTAAAAGAACAGCGTTTGTATGAAATAGAAGTCTTTTGTACATTATAAATGTCTTTACTGACACTTGATCAATTTAATGTATCCTTGCTGAATGAAAGTATTAATTTCTTTCAAAAAATAAAAATCTTACCGACACCAAACTTTTGAATGGTAGTTTAAGTGTTCCGATATTATGTGCTTTTGCTGTCATTTAGCTGCACGGCCATTACAAAACCCATCCTTTGTGAAAACATCAAAGTCATTTTGTGATATTCATAGATGTTTTATTACTAAAGCAATCAGGTTGACTTTTTTCATTTGTCACGTGCATTTTCTGTTCTATGCTCAAATGTTACCTTTTTGTTTTACTTTCACTATTCACTGTTTACAGCATATGCTTTCTTACTACCTAACAACCTCATAAAATTGCCCTTCTTTGATGCTATTTGCAACACATTTTATATGGAGGTCAAAGTGGTGCATGATGCTTGAGTTGAGAGGTGCGTTGAAGCCCTGATGTGAGTCATGTGAAAGGGCCTAAAGTGTAACGAACCTCTTTTTGTCCTAGTCTCCAGATTTCTACATGGAGATGAAATGGGAGTTCACTAGCTGGAGTAAGTGCTCTTTTTATTTTTTCCTCACCTTTTCTGTACATAAATCCTTATGGCTTTATTAGGCTGTAGAATGATCCTCATCTGCTGCTTCTGCTCTGGCTCCAGTTCCTCTCGTATCACGTGTGTGTCCCAGCGACGTGTGCAGAATCTGGAAGAGTGCGGCCTGTCTGAGGGTGGACACCACCTTGCTGGGCTTTGAAAACATGACCTGGATCAGAGGAAGAAGAAGCTATATCTTTAGAGGAGAAGGTTATTTTCTCTGCCTCTTTGCATGAGTTTACAATTGCTTTATTTTTTAAAAAGTCTAGTCGACCATTCTGACCATCTGTGGTTTACACATTCATTTGGTGGTGGGGTTCTAGCAAACGTGCTGTGAATTCTCATTTCACATTTGTATGTTTACTAATGCACTTCATTTGAGGATGAGTGAAATGCCTGATGTTTATTTGTAGTTGATCAGTATCATGTGGACTTTGCATGTGCATACTCACAGACAACTGCACTGAACTGATGGAAGTTAATCACGAGGACGAAGTGGTGGACACTGAGCGCTTTGATCTCTCCCGTGAGATTGAGGACGTCACACTAGACTCCATGCAGCCTGCCGAGCAGGAAGTAGCCAAGAGGCTGACAACACCCATTGTCAACACATATCTGGACACAAAGGACATTGCGTTTGAGAGGTATGGCCCTAGATATAAGATTTACATCTAATAAATGCACTACCATTCAAAAGTTTGGGGTCAGGAAGACTTTAATGGTTTTAAAAGAAGCCTCTTATTGTCACCAAGTGTGTTATTAGATGAAAAACACAGTAGAAATAGTAATATTGTGAAATATTATTACAATTCAAAATAACAGTTTTCTATTTTAATATATTTGAAAATGTAATTTAAGCAGATTTTTCACCATCCATTACTCCGTCTTCTGTTTTAATGTTAAAAATGTTCAATGTTACAAAAAATTGTGCTGCTTAATATTTTGTGGAAACTTAAATTTTCTTTAGGATTCTTTGATAAATAGAATGTTCAAAAGAACAGCGTTTATTTGTCAATTTTGCCAAATTCACAAAAACGTATTAAATTCTTTAACAAAAAATAAATTCTTTCTGACCCCAAACTTTTGAATGGTGGTGTATATGAAAAATGTCAAACGTGGATTTCCTTGTACATTGTTGCACAGTGACTAATTGTTTGATTCACAGAACTAAACATACATAAAAAACATTTTTGCTCCTGAAGAAGAAATCGAACATGCTATTAAAAACGTATTCTGTGC